CAACTACTCTTCCCATCGGTTCCAATCATTCACTAATCGGTTCTTTTAATTAGGAATATTCTGTCTTCGGTTTTCGATTTGGTTCACAGCGTAGACCTCATCCAAAGCACAGACACTGAGATCTTGGAGGCTATGAAAAGGCCAGAACTCGGGGTCACTTTATCTAAGATTCATTGCTGGCGCTTAACTCAATACAAGAAGTGTGTCTTTTTGGACGCCGACTGTCTTATCGTTCACAACATCGACGAACTGTTTGAAAAAGAGGAGTTGTCAGCGGTTCCCGACATCGGATGGCCGGACTGTTTCAATTCAGGCGTTTTTGTGTACTCGCCATCAGAGGAGACATTCAGAGCACTGCTTAAGTCGGCGATTGAGAGCGGAAGTTTTGATGGCGGAGACCAGGGATTGCTTAACACATACTTCTCTGACTGGCGAACGAAAGACATTTCACGGCATTTGTCGTTCATTTATAACATGAGTTCAATTGCCGTATATTCATATCCGCCCGCATATAAGCAGTTCAGTGCACTTCCCTTCGTCTCATCCCTGAGCTATCACTCATTCACTGTTCCTCTCTTCTAATCATTAGATTCGGAAAGAATGTCAAAGTTATCCACTTTTTGGGTTCATTGAAGCCCTGGTTCTATCCCTACAATGTATTGTCGGGTCAGGTGTCGCAACCAAAGGACATGCAGGGGTCGCAGCAATTAGAGCACGTCCAGCAATGGTGGGATATATTCATGAGTAAAGTCCAGTCTTCCCTGACCACCGATGACGTGAGTATATTGTCTGCGATATGGAGTAAACCTAACAAAACTAATAAACTTCATTCACTATCATAACAAGACTAACCATTTGACAAATGATGTAAATATATATAGTATTACCGTATATTTGATTATAGAAATGGATTAACTTTCTTAATGAATGTGTGATCTATTAATGTATTGCAGAGCGGACTGGCCGGCAGTCTCTCTAAAATCCATTTGTCGGGCGAATACCGGGGTTTAGAAGAGGTTCAGGGCGGCAATCGGGATGAGTTTGCCCGTCAACAGGCCTGGGAAAGGGGTCAAATCGACTACTTGGGCACCGATTCGTTCGCCAACATCCAGAAGAAGATCGATGAGGCCATCAACGCTCGTGTGGGACAGTAGTCTGTGTGTCGTCGACCGTCGGTGTCTTACTTCAGTGCCTTTAGTCCACCATTTCTTCATTTGTCAAACGTTTTTATTTTGTGCCAAAAGTTTTAATTTCCTTTTGTTTGTCTAATATTTATAGTTTTGAAATGTTTTTAACTCTTATTCAGAATCTCTTTAGCGATTTGTGTGCAAAATATGGCTTAAAACTAGTCTTTGTTTTTAAAGAAATTTAATAATATTTGAAAATAAATTATTTTATCATAACTTTAGATAACATTAAATATTTTATGAAAACAAAACGGTATTAAAGTATCGATTATTTCATAGAAATCACTTAAATCTGAGGCAATGACACCTTCAGCTCCTCATCGGTTTCGAGACCAATCTCTTCGAGCAGTGCTTTCTTGGGTTTGGGATACGACTCGAGAATCATATCAACCATATTAGTGGCCATTCGCTTGCGTTTCCTCCATTCGGTCACCAGTTTCTGTCGATCAGTCTTCAGCTTTTGGTTCTCTTTCGGATCAAAATCTTTTGCTTTGCTATCAATTGAATCCAATCTTTTGTGCAAATCCTTGATCTCAGCCTTCAGTTCAGACAACTGTCCACTGATTTGCTCAGAAGTTAAGCAATTCTTATGCGTCGAAAGTCTACTCTCTTTATGTTTGACTTTGTCTTGAAGTTGATTCACCTCTTTGTCCAATTGATTCAATTCGAGGTCCAATTCCTTCATCTGCTTGTCATCAATGGTGTCGAAGTTGTTCTGATCGGCGAAATACACCTTTTGTTTGCCGTTCACCTTCTCCTGGATCTCCTGTCTGGACGCCAACTCATCCAATGTCTTAAAGACCGCAGTTTTGCTCAGTTTGTTGTCTTTGGTGTTCAGGTTATTGAAGACATCGGTGGCACTGAACGGACGGTTAGTGCGGACTAAATAGCTCTTCACTGTCGATGACAACGAGTCCTTTGATTTACTCATCGCGCGATCCGTGAGATGGTATGGATTAGACCACAGATGGTATGGATTAGACCACAATCAGTGACGAGATATCAATGGATTGACAGCAAAGATGTCTGCAGACGAGTGACAGTCTGTGAGACAATGCACTGAAAGGACTGTGAATTGCATTCATTTGAAGCGCCAATCAGTGATCGAAACGATGGAAACCATGACATCATTGATGTCTGCATTTGACTCAATGTTTGCAAACAACACGTGTTTCAGGCGTTCAATGCATTTCAGTGTAAATGACATTCAATTGAATCGATTTGTGGTCTAATTGTGTGACAAATGGCTAAAAACAAGAGACGAAAGCATTTGGAGACAAAGCGACAGAAGTTTGAGTCGAAGAGTGGATCCAAAAGCGAAACCAATTTGTTTGAGTTTCACAGAAATAAAGTCAAACACGACATCATTGGCCGCAAAATAGCCAAAAATGAAATGTCAAACAAATCCGTGTCGAGGAATAGGTCTTACATTAAGAGGAAGAATACGATTCTCGAGGAATACAAACGCAAACATAAGACGGGAAAAGGTTTACAAGACTTGAGGAATAAAGACGACAAACAAGTGAGACATGAATTGCAAGAATCGCGTGAATTGTCTTCCGATGAGAAGACAGTTCTGACACATAAAGGAAGGCATTTGAATGACTTCATGGATGACCACATCGGCTCTGATGACGAGGACGTGGACCTCTTCAACCGACCAGACTTTGTGGAGTCCGCACACTTTGGCGGCGGTTCCGACGGAAGACCCAAAACCGCGAATGAAGTGTTGAATCAGATTATGGATGAGAAGAGAGATAAACAGTTGGAAAGACAGGCGAACATAGAGTTGACTCAAAAACTGGACACCGAGTGGACGGCCGTTAAGAGTGTGTTGAGACACAAGTCAGTGAAACAAGAGTTGACACAAAACATGAGCGAAGACTTCGATGTTTTGGTCAAAGAGTTGATGTTTGACGGAAACAAACCCATAAGTCGTGTCCCAACTGTTGTCCAACAAAACAGTGAACAACTAATGGATATAAACACCGAAAAGTCAGAAACGGTTCCCAAAAGTATTGAAACAATGTTCAAAGAACTCATTGAATCGATTGAGAGAGAAAAGAGTTGGACACAGATTTTGGGTTTAATTAATGGTTCGGAGAGTCTATTGAAACAAATAAGTGAAGAATCTCTGAGTTTATTGATTGAAAAATACCAAACGATAACAGAAACCAAAAGTGCTTTTAATTGCAATAATTTAGCGTATCTTTGGTTTGGCTGTCATTTTAAACAAACAAAACTAATGGTTAGACTTATTTTGATTCAAATGTTATCTAAACTTAAGTTCAACTCATTTAACGAAATCGCAACCGTTTTAATGATCATTAAATTGTTATTAATGACAGCAAACGGAGTATATATTCCTGAAGTTTTTGACTCAATCTTAAAAGTCCTTTATTTGTGTCAACAAAAGGAATCAATTGAAGTTAAAATTGGACACAAGAATAAACACAACTGTATTCTTGCGATCAATGAAAAAATGGCTGACAATAAGTCCGCCGTTTTTAACATTAAATATATTTTTGACAAATCATTTAACGATTTTTCGCGTTTCAAAGAAAATGACATAAAATCTATGCTTTTCATCGAAACTCTTAAACGAGTGGAAGAAATGTTTGACTTGTATTCAACTATTCCCTCATTTACTGAATTAATAGCTCCTCTAAAGTCCATATGTTGTGAATTATCACAAAATGATTGTTTCAATGAAGAGATTATAGTGTTATTGAATAGAGTGGTGTCTCAAGTGAATAAGGAGGCGCCCAAAGTGGTGTTGAATGAGAGGCGACGCAAACCTTTTATGCTTCCGATGTTTGAACCCAAGTTTGATGACAAGGAAAGCAGTCATAAGACGAATACAAAGAAGAAGTTGACGAAGAAGTACAACAGAGAGCTGAAGGGCGCTCAGAGAGAGCTCAGGAAGGACTCGNCCAAGATCTCAGTGTCTGTGCTTTGGATGAGGTCTACGCTGTGAACCAAATCGAAAACCGAAGACAGAATATTCCTAATTAAAAGAACCGATTAGTGAATGATTGGAACCGATGGGAAGAGTAGTTGCGAATACTTCATGTGATCGGTAACCCCGGGAGTGATGAGGACCACGAGTTGGGCCCGAGTATTGGTTTCACGGAGAGAGTGGGCCAACACGAGAGCACCCATAGAGTAGGTGTCATTCGTGACCAAAGTTACGAACGCTTCTGTAATATCACCACAATTTCATCCATTCTTCTTAATCTCAAGAATCCATATTCAATACAAATAAGACAATCACTTACCGGAACTCATGTTTGGATAGACTTTGATTATAAGATCAACGAATGGATTGAAATGAGAGACCAAATGGGAGAAGAGATGCGAAGGCAATGAATGCAGTCTCTGATCGTCTAAAACCTTGAATGACTTCAAAACGCCAAATGACTGAATGCTTACAATATGTGGGCTCTTATACGCTGTGAGAGTGAAATAGTTTTACACAAATACACGACAAGAGTAGGAATTTGACACTAAAACTCATCTCATATCGGAATATATACTATAATACTCTTTCTCTCTCACTCTCTCCACATATTTTTTCTACCATTCATTACCAAAATAAAAGGGATTATCAAACAATTTGAGTCAACTTCTGTATATTATTAATACTTTATACTAAATATCAAACAAAAAACGGAATTTTTAATCAAATTCCTTATTACTGGTGTAGCCTTCAGTCTCAATGAACTCATCCCAACAAATATTTTCTACGTTTGTTGAAAGACTAATATATTATTGACTAACCATTGAAACGCATTAATCATATTCATTAATTAGCTTTGCTTTTAACTTATATATATATATGCTTTCTACTTGAATTTATAAATCTTTCCATTGTCTCATATAAGAGGTGACCATACATTTTAATATCATACCTGTATATTTTTATGATATAAAATATTTTCTATTTTTAAAAATTTTAATTAAATAGTTTGAAAATATGTTATTATTACAATTAATCTAATCTAATACGGTCTTATAATAACAAAATTAATTTAAATGGATATTTTTAATTGTTACAAAATCTTATAAACAAAAGTTGGTTCTAATACAAAACTAAAGTTGTAAATAATGAATATATTGCAATTAGTGGATTAGAAAATTAATTAAAGCCAAATAATATGAGAAGTTATAATACAAAGTATGATTTAAATTGTAAAATGACTTGTTTTCAATGGGTTGTGTTTGTTTGGTATCATCCACTTGATTCTTATCAAAAGATATACTTGCATTG